CGCGTTCCTCAACCACAAAATGTTTGCTATGGACAATGTCATGCCCTCCGTATTGGTTTGCTGTCACTGGCACACATGTGCGTGTGTGTATGCGTTCGTGCGTGTATGTGAATATGTGTGTATATGTTTGTGTGGGTGGGTGGGTGGGTGCGTGTGTGGGTGTATGCGTGCATGCGTGTGTGTGTGTGTGTGTGTGTGTGTGTGTGTGTGTGTGTGTGTGTGTGTGTGTGTGTGTGTGTGTGTGTGTGTGTGTGTGTGTGTGTGTGTGTGTGTGTGTGTGTGTGTGTGCTTATGCATATGCGTGTGGGTGTGTATGCGTGCCATTTGCGCAGCCCAAGAAGCCAAATCGTACGTCTCTCCAGAGCGTTCGTCCGAGGCCATACAGGTCCATCGCTCGACCAGTCAGCCATGGAACATGCTAGAGTCATCGTCACTGCCACCTGTCCTCTCTGTCTCACCTCCACCAGCCACTCTTTCTCCATCGTCACTGCCAGCCACTAACGGCACAAGTAACGCCAGTAGGTTGCCATGCCGATCCTGAGCGGTCACTTCCGAACTGATGTATCAGAGTCGGGGGGAGAACTTCTCGTGTGCGTGCATGCGCGCGCGTGTGTGTGTGTGGGGGGGGGGGGGGTGCGTGTGTGCAAGTGCATGAAGGGAGTGCTGACCACCAGCATTATGAGAGGGAGCACGACAAAAGGTTTGTAGTTGGCTTCAACGTCTGTATTACCTAGGGTCATGCGTGCACCTGTAACTGTGTGAAATCCACACCCGCGGGAAGTGGTCATTGATATAATCTAATTTCAGAAATGTTCGGTGCTCGATATTTTCGGTCTGAGGGCAACAGGCCAGGTTAGGTGAACAGAAATGTTCGGTGCAGAGAAGCAGTTCCCTATTGAATTTTTTTAGTGTTTATTTGAATTATTTGTCATTTTCTGCTGTTCTACTGTATAGCCGGGAGCTAACACTACTACATGTGTATATATCATGCATATAAAAAGGTGACACTAGCACTCTGAAGGGTGGCGCATTCCTTTTGAAAGGGGGCGGTCAATAAGTGAAAGGAGGGTGCAGCGCCCTGCTTTGTCGCTTTGGTAAGAACCCAGTCTGCTGTTCTGTTGTTTTTTTCTTGCACAGCATCTCCGCCGCCCACTTCCGTCGAGCACGTCGCGTATCCGCCGGCCCAGGCAAACAGAGATACCGGCGATGGTAGCCAGCGGTTAGGCGTCGTCACGGTGACCAACGACCAGTACAGCGTGGTACGTTGCGCGTGGTGTGTTGTGGCTGTAGCGGTGCTGCTACGCTCATACCTCGGTTATCCGGACCCACAAGTCACGGGTACTTCGCTCTCCTGGGCACCCTTTGGGCGAGTTTCAGTAGAAATATTACTACTCTTTTGTCTTTTGTGGAAATAGTGACGTCACATGCCAGCTCTATGGCCTTTCCCCGTCAAAATGTATGTGATTCGGCGTTACGGACTTTTCGAAGTCACGAGCAGTGCCCGATCCCAGACCGCCCGGATAAACGAGGTCTGAGTCAGTGTACTCTAACTGCTACTGCTGGTAGCAGTAACCTCGTTAGGACTTCCTGGGAATTGTATACTCCATCTCCCTTTTCCCCTTCCGCTTCCCTCTTCCTCGCTTCAGCCAGCGCTATCTGGCGGTGATGTGGTTTTCGGTGACACTTGGGCCAGTGTCACTCCACTCCACTCAATGTACTCTCAGCAGTGAATCCAGGTCCCACAATAAATAATTCTAATGCCTCAACCCCATCATGAAGTCTTGTGTTCGCTGCATGTGCGTGTGTGTCCCTGGCAGGTGTCCAAGCCCCGTAACAAGTCCGCCAGTGCACCTCAGTCAACTATGGGAGCAGCCACCTCCTCGTCATCGCAGGTGACGTCCGACGAAGGCTTCGTGGAGCAGAACAGCGACGGGGAAACCCCTCCGCCGGTGCCACCGCACCCGATACCGATGCCGGACATTTCGCAGGAGACCTGTATGGCGGACAGCACGGATCGGCTGTACGCTGGAATACCGACACGCGCCCCACCGCCACCAGACCCGCCGCATCATCGTCACACGGGCAGCGCGGCATCCTCGTCGTCTCAGACTGTCGGAGTGGGAGATCAGGGGACTTCCCCGGTCATGATGACGTCACCGGCGATGTCGTCACCGGTCATGATGACGTCGTCGTCCGTGGTGTCCGCGAGCGACGTGCTCAGCTCGGGCGCGGGTAGCCTGACGCACTCCGAGGACACACTCTCGTCGTCCGCCAACACCACGCGCGCTTACAGTCTCAGTCAGGCGCGTGCCTATTCGCCTAGAGCTTCCGTACAGTATACCGACGAGCAAGCGACGGACGACTCGCAGGAGTCTTCCTCGGCGGCAGTGGCAACTCGCTATCGCGCCAGAGCCGAGAGTCTGCATGAAAAGCGTGCCTACTCGCCGCGTTCATCCTCGAGTGAAGCGCAAATCGTCGAGGAGCAAGAGTCGTCCGCGGCGGTCGGCAATCCGAAGAGCGCGGCGACTACGCGCGAGCAGCTGGCGAAGCAGGCCGAGGAGCTGGATCGTATGCAGAGCTCGCTGCTGCACGACCTGGAGACGATGCGCGTGGAATCGCCGCCCGGTGCGCCCAAGCCGTCAATCTCCATCTTACCCGGTGGAGCACGTGCTGGGGCCGGTGGTGATGGTGATGGTGCGGATGGCAGACGGGAGAAGCGTAGCAACAGCGTGGCAAAGATGACGTCCATCCACCACGTCGGTCAGGTTCGTTGTGTTATGTTCTCCAGTCTCTCCGGAGGCGTGGGTTCGAATCCCGCCGCTGCCACCATGTTATGTCCGGCCTGCGAGCCACGCAGGAGTCCATTGCGGGACGAGACGAGGGCTGATTTATTTTACAACGAGCATGTGCATATAATACAGATGAGAGGGACAATACGGAGAGAGACAATACGGAGAGAGACAATACGGAGAAAGACAATACAGCTACAAACACTACTATACAGTACAAGTTGCATTCCCGAATCAACTGGAAGTCTCTTGTGTCATGGCACCGGTGGCCTCTGTGGCTCCCTTGCCATCAAATGAACCGAGCAGGACTTGGATGATCTACACGTCGATCGTTCAATTGTTTTGCCTTTTTTCATGGAAACGCCAGTTTTGTGTGACTCTAGACGGGTCTAAACATGTACATGTATGCGTGGGTGTGTGTGTGTGTGTTTGCTTGTGTCCGTGTGCATGCGCGTACATGTGTGTGTGCGCGTACATGTGTGTGTGTGTGTGTCCGTGTGCGTGCGCGTACATGTGTGTGCATGTGTGTGCATGTGTGTGTGTGTGTGTGTGTGTGTGTGTGTGTGTGTGTGTGTGTGGTGTGTGTGTGTGTGTGTGTGTGTGTGCATGTGTGTGTATGCTTTTGTGCAACTCTTGGACACACATGTGTGTTGGACTGCTGCAGAGGTCTGTCGATCACACCGGTCGTCCACTGCCTCAGCCTCCACAGCAACAGCAGCATCCCAACTCGAGATCGGTGGACGACCTGCGACTGCGCCCGCTGCCCAAGAGTCCGGAGGACCAGTCCCCGTTCCGCCGCGGCACGATTGACTCCGAACACGTCAGCGTTCCACCTCCACTGGCGCTGGACTCCTTGCAGCGCGGCGTCGAGCCGATCGGTCGTGATTCCCTCCAGCTGGAGAACCCACTCGTTCGGCGCAGGCTGCCGTCGCAGACGTCGATATCCGGCCGTCAAGTCTTGCCCTACGAGGTCGTTGGCGGAGGAGGAGGCCTGGAGGTCCCGGCCACCGGACTAGTGCCGCCGTACGAGACGCTCACAAGAGTGCGAGGCGAAGCGGACGCGGCGTGGACGGGCGGAGCGGACGCTGCCGACGCCAGAGTCGGGCCTGTGGTGGTGAGCCCACCGTATGCCGAGGCACAGCTGCTTGCACGCGAGAACAACCCGTTTGCAAAGATCGGTGGTGGCGGTGGCGGTGCGGCTAACAATATTCCCGTCTCCGCCAGCCAGGAACACGCCACCATCATGGAGGTGTACGCCGACGATACTCCCGACGACGTTCTCGCCGTCTCCGTCGAGGGCAACGGCGGCAGCTTTCTGGACGCGGAGGAGCCGTACGATCAGGGATTCATCCGGCCCGTAGCAAACTCCCGGGTAAGTGTGTCCTTGGTATAATCTGGCTGGGTACAAGGGGTGCAGGGCTTAGGGTAGTTAGGCGAACAGTGACACTGTGTACATAGATATCAGGTGCAAGAAGAATGGATCGTCCTGTCTCGTGTGTGTGTGTGGGGGGGGGGGGGGGGGTGCTTGTGCGTGTGTGTATGTGTGCATGCATAATGTGTACATGTTTTTGTGTGTTGTGTGTATGTGTGGGAGTGGATGTCCATGTATAACTCTATGCATGTGTGTGGATTCTCAAGTCAACACATTATTTAATGTATGTGTGTGTGTGTGTGTGTGTGTGTATGTGTGTGTATGTGTACGTGCACGTGTCAACGACTACGCTTCCTTGCACAGGACGGACTGCGCAATCAGTCCGTGTCGTCGTCGGAGTTCAGTCGCACAGCCGTCGCCGGTGCTGCCTCCCAGTCACCATCCTCGCGTGAGTGGGTGGACAGTACTAGCACTACAAATCCCACGCCAGGCGCTCTAAGCATGGACAGCGGGGAATTGCAGATTCCAGGAACTCCGGGCAACATCTCGCGCGGCTCCAACGAGCGCAACATCATGGCCCGTGAGTGGTGTTGTGTGCTGTGCTGTGTGTGTGTGTGTGTGTGTGTGTGTGTGTGTGTGTGTGTGTGTGTGTGTGTATGTGTGTGCACATGTGTGTGTGTGTGTGCACGTGTGTGTGTGTGTGTGTGTGTGTTGCGCGTGTGTGTTGGCTCTGATACATGTTTATCTGTGCTGACTGCAAGCATTGCCAAGACTGTACTAGGGTACACACTTAGAGTGGGTTCGTTTATTAGAGCAGTACAGAGTAGTGAAATTCCTGTCCAGATATGCATTAGTGGTCAGTCTGATCTACATCGTCATCACTACCACACGCCGCCACCGTCGCAATCGCCTCCATCATCGCTTCCACCATCCCTGCCACCACCACCTCCACCACCACAGCCATGTGACATGCATATCTGCTAGGCAGCACACTATAGACTAGCAGCTATTTCTGTTGAAGTTCCGTTCATCGTCTGTTGTGTACACGGCTTTGCATTTTGCTTGCTCCCCCCCCCCCCCCCCCCCTGTGACAGTGCATTGTTCATTGGTGTTTTTAGTTCGCCATAGCATCAACTCGTTATAGTAGTGCATTGTCCTATCGTCCTTTGGTGTTTTGTGTTCGCCGTAGCATCCACTGGTGATGAGCTAGCAACGCCGCTGGAGCTGTGGATGATAGCGTGGATATCCGAGTACCTCTACGTCGACTCCGACAAAGTGGACGCGAGCCACTTCGTCGCCAGTGACATGCCATCGGGGCTAGTAGCGGACACAACTCAGGGTATGTCGTGCCATTTGTTCTTGAGGGGCAAGTCCACTAGAACGGCACAGCTGTGTACGATCATGTATTCTTGTATATGCCCGTCGCAAGAGAAGCACGCAAATCTGCGAATGCACTGGATGCGCACCCACAGATCATACCCACAGATGTACTACAACTGGCTGTACCTGCCAAATATGGGACAATTTACCCCTAAGAAAGGAGGCGATCATGTTTTTTGCACCAACCCCATTGGCCTTAGCAAGAGTACCCCCCCCCCCCCCCCCTCCTCCCTCCGCCAAGATTGTGCAGCTCCAGTCTATGGGGTCTGCGACGGCAGAACTTCACATCACGTGACTAACCTGAAGGCAGTGACACATTTTGCACCCTGTGCATGATAGATACAGCGTTGTACGCAACCCTGCTTTGGGTACAACTCTCTGACAGTCGCTTTGCACTGTTTGCCAGCGTAACCAGGGGCATCACAGGGCAATGGCGAGGGGTATGACCGGGGGCATCAAAAATCAGATTTTCGGCCAACAGGGCACTTTTAGCTCTCTACTGGTCGTGCCGTGTGTGACGCCCCTGGTAACTTATTGAACCACGGCACGTAGTGTGAAGTTCTGCCGTCGCAGCAATGACTATAGGTTGTACAGGCAGTTGCACACTCTTGCGGTTAGTGTACTTTTGATCGTGTCTGTGACGTGAATCCAGGTTAATAGCGGCGATATTTACGACTTGTTCACTCGATGTATCCATTCTAGTGCAGATCTCTTCGAAGGAGGTCTGAGGATAGGAAAGTGTTATGTTTCACGCGTGCAGTCAATTCAATCCCGACGTCATGAGTGAGATAGCGCAGGCAACGCTGTGCTTTTGTGTCTGTCAGCCTGTCTGTCTGTCTGTCCGTCCGTCCGTCCGTCCGTCCGTCCGTCCGTTCGCCCATCCGTCCGTTCGCCCGTCCGTCCGTTCGCCCGTCCGTCCGTCCGTCTATGTGTCTGTCTGCATGTCTGTCTGCCTGCCAGTGTGTATATATCTCTCTGTGTTTATACCTGTCTGTGCTGATTTCATCTTTGTGTCTGTTCTATTTTCATCTTAGGTGGCAAAGGTATTTGTATTGTTCACCTGATATTTGAGAACCTAAACGTCCGCCAATACAAGTTGGGCCGGAAGAGTATTCTTCAATCACTAGCAATGGGTTTCAACATGCGAGAGATGAAGGTAAGGAAATGTCACGAGTGCTCTGTTTGGTGTATGCCGTGTGTAGAGCAGAGAACCTGGGATGATGGTAGTGTGTGTGTGCGCACGTTTGTGTGTGTGTGTGTGTGTGTGTGTGTGTGTGTGTGCGTGCGTGCGTGCGTGCGTGCGTGCGTGCGTGCGTGCGTGCGTGCGTGCGTGTGTGGAGGGATGTGATTTCGGCTGATCTTCGGCACATCGGCATTGAACATCTGGCTTGGTATGGGATTGCTCAGGATCGGTCTGCCTGGCGGGTGTCTGCCGTTGTGCCGAGTCTCGGCGGTCCTTCCCATGACCAACCTCAACGGGTGGACTGTCTTATCTGCCACCGTTCGTTTCGTCGGCCAGGTGACAGAGCAAGACACAAGTGTAGCGCAGAGCGAAGTCTCCCCATCCAGGACCAGCGTGGTGCTGTGCAGTGTGGTACATGCAGGAGGTGGTTTCACTCTCGTGGTGGCTTGCGTGTACATCATTGTTTGCCCCTGGAACCATCGGAAGCGTCCGCGCCGTCATCACCTATTCCGCTCAACGTCCCGGCTTCTCTCTTGTCTGTGACATGCAATCGGCAAGTCAAGTCAGTGCCTGGTTTCAGACGTCACAAGTGCGACCGTGGCCATCGAGCAACCGAGTCTGATGGAGCGTCATATTGTGTTCTCGCTGCAATCGTCAGTTCCGTCGACAGAGTGACCTGGGTCGTCATCTCCGTTTCTGCTCCTGACAATGACTCTGGCTCCTTTTGGAGTGGTGTGGCCCTTGTGGCAACCAAGCTACAGTAGTAGTAGTGTGTGTGTGCGTGTGTGTGCGCACGCACGTACGTGCGTTCACCTTTCATTGCCCAAGACTATAAACCCATGTATGTGGAGCATCAGAGCCAGTCAGAGAGAAAAGACCAACAATTGGCGTTCTTGTGTGGTATTTTGGGATGCGTTGTTACTGCAGGTTGTGTGTCGGGATGTAAATCATGGCCAGTCAATGATCATGTCGATGTGGACGCCACATGCCGTACGCGACACCATCATGCGACTGGCAGAAGAGAAGAGCTTTGTCCTGTTGTCGGCGGGTATTGTACTCGTTCGCTGCACGTCGCGTGCCGTCTGGTGTGCAGAGAAGAAGAAGCACAAGAAAAAGAAGGTTAGAAACGTGGTTCTTTATGCTAGCCAGTCCACTAGATGTGGAGTAGGATGTTAGTTGTGGCCAGTACTGTCGGTGGCTAAAGCCTAGTTCACATTCGACGCAACGCCGACGGTACGGGACGTAAGGGCTTGTCGGGAGGGCTGGGGTGAGCTGTAAAATCCTGTACGATTCGTACGACATGACATGCAGCAGTCGTTGCGACGTTCAACGTCGAACGGCGCGAGTCATAAGGCACGGTCCATGACGGGGTGACTTTCGGACCTTATTTCTCGTTTTTCGGGACTTCTTTTCAATTATTTCTCCTTCAAAGAAGCGGAATCAAGTTCACAATACCAGTTTTTCATGAAGACCAAAAAAATAACTCTGAAAGTCGTGGCATTCAAATAATAAGAACGGGTTTGCTCCCCACACTGGAGCTCGCGCTATTCCGCCGACTTTACTTGACACTTGACTGACTCACGACTGCCATCCAGAGCACACGAGAAGTCCATCGAACCTTCGACTCGGCAAACCTGCAAGAAAGCACCTCTCCCTGCTCAATACACAGTGTTTCGGGGAATTCACCCCTCATCAGTTGAGCTTGAGTAGGCTGAGGAAGATTGTGCCTGAAGAGCACCACTTATATAGTGCTCTCCAGGCACAAACATCACCAGGGATACAAACTTACAGAGACGCTCCATTTCCAGCGCGACAAACACCTCGTGAACACCAGATAGCAGCGTGAGTCAGTGTCGCTCCTGGACGGTGAGACCAGACGTTGAGGACCCTCGGTCATTCGCAACGCTGTCACCTCCAAACCAACTAGTCGCAAGCCCGCGCTGGGCACAACAGTACGAAGTAGTGGTTGCGACTTCGGCGATGATTTGTAAGAACGGGTTTGCTCCCCACACTGGAGCTCGCGCTATTCCGCCGACTTTACTTGACACTTGACTGACTCACGACTGCCATCCAGAGCACACGAGAAGTCCATCGAACCTTCGACTCGGCAAACCTGCAAGAAAGCACCTCTCCCTGCTCAATACACAGTGTTTCGGGGAATTCACCCCTCATCAGTTGAGCTTGAGTAGGCTGAGGAAGATTGTGCCTGAAGAGCACCACTTATATAGTGCTCTCCAGGCACAAACATCACCAGGGATACAAACTTACAGAGACGCTCCATTTCCAGCGCGACAAACACCTCGTGAACACCAGATAGCAGCGTGAGTCAGTGTCGCTCCTGGACGGTGAGACCAGACGTTGAGGACCCTCGGTCATTCGCAACGCTGTCACCTCCAAACCAACTAGTCGCAAGCCCGCGCTGGGCACAACAGTACGAAGTAGTAGTTGCGACTTCGGCGATGATTTGTAAGAACGGGTTTGCTCCCCACACTGGAGCTCGCGCTATTCCGCCGACTTTACTTGACACTTGACTGACTCACGACTGCCATCCAGAGCACACGAGAAGTCCATCGAACCTTCGACTCGGCAAACCTGCAAGAAAGCACCTCTCCCTGCTCAATACACAGTGTTTCGGGGAATTCACCCCTCATCAGTTGAGCTTGAGTAGGCTGAGGAAGATTGTGCCTGAAGAGCACCACTTATATAGTGCTCGCCAGGCACAAACATCACCAGGGATACAAACTTACAGAGACGCTCCATTTCCAGCGCGACAAACACCTCGCGCTGGAAATGGAGCGTCTCTGTAAGTTTGTATCCCTGGTGATGTTTGTGCCTGGAGAGCACTATATAAGTGGTGCTCTTCAGGCACAATCTTCCTCAGCCTACTCAAGCTCAACTGATGAGGGGTGAATTCCCCGAAACACTGTGTATTGAGCAGGGAGAGGTGCTTTCTTGCAGGTTTGCCGAGTCGAAGGTTCGATGGACTTCTCGTGTGCTCTGGATGGCAGTCGTGAGTCAGTCAAGTGTCAAGTAAAGTCGGCGGAATAGCGCGAGCTCCAGTGTGGGGAGCAAACCCGTTCTTACAAATCATCGCCGAAGTCGCAACCACTACTTCGTACTGTTGTGCCCAGCGCGGGCTTGCGACTAGTTGGTTTGGAGGTGACAGCGTTGCGAATGACCGAGGGTCCTCAACGTCTGGTCTCACCGTCCAGGAGCGACACTGACTCACGCTGCTATCTGGTGTTCACGAGGTGTTTGTCGCGCTGGAAATGGAGCGTCTCTGTAAGTTTGTATCCCTGGTGATGTTTGTGCCTGGAGAGCACTATATAAGTGGTGCTCTTCAGGCACAATCTTCCTCAGCCTACTCAAGCTCAACTGATGAGGGGTGAATTCCCCGAAACACTGTGTATTGAGCAGGGAGAGGTGCTTTCTTGCAGGTTTGCCGAGTCGAAGGTTCGATGGACTTCTCGTGTGCTCTGGATGGCAGTCGTGAGTCAGTCAAGTGTCAAGTAAAGTCGGCGGAATAGCGCGAGCTCCAGTGTGGGGAGCAAACCCGTTCTTACAAATCATCGCCGAAGTCGCAACCACTACTTCATTCAAATAATAGCCCCAGGAAATGATCGAATAGTTCGTCTGTCAAGCTTCTGAACTATCCCTAAATACAATAAGTGACATGAGATCTTATGTTGCTAAAATTCAACTCAAGTCGTGCTAGCCATTCTGTGAGTTATCATGGGAAGCGCAGTGTTCGAAATGCTAAAAATGTCCAAGTACGAATCAGGAGTAGTCGGCGCACGACGCCGTCTCCTGTTCACACTCGAATTGCAGCCGTTTTGTACGCTTGCGTCCCCGTCTACGCCCGTCTACGGTATGAAAAGTTGGATCGATCCAACTCTTCCCGTCGCTTCCCGATCTGTACGGTAGTACGGTTGCGTTCGCGTTCCTGGTGTTCACATCGGACGCCGTCAGACCGTCCCGTCGCTTCCCGTCGATCCTTACGTCGCGTCCCATCGCGCCCCGTCGAATGTGAACTAGGCTTAACTTAGCCAGCTTTTGAAGTGTGCTGTGTATCATGTGTGTGTGTCCGTCCACCCTTCCGGGTGTGTATTCGTGCGTATGTGCCTGCCGCCCTGTCTGCATCCCTGCATTCCTGCCTGCCTTCCTGCCTGCCTGCTGGCCTCCCTGCCTGTCTGTATGTGTGTGCGCATGTCGGCCTGTCTGTCTGTCCATCTGTCTGCCTTCCTGCCTGTCTGTCTGTATGTCTGTTTGTCTGTCGGTATGTTAATGCGCATGTTAGTGTGTGTGTGTGTGTGTGTGTGCGTGTGCGTGCGTGCGTGTGTGTATATGTGTACGGATGCGGAAAACTCGGTCTTGCCGAGTCTCACACGAACCTTGTTTTTTGCATGTCCCATCACAACTGACCTGTATCACACAATTCTTGTAGTCCTTCTCAGCGAGCATGGCACATGTTTCCAGTTGTGTTGCGGCTTTGTGCTGGTCAACTACACAGCCCGTGCGAACGAAAGAGTACAAGTTTGTCAAGCTTTCTCTTCTCTCCTTATCCTCCCAGTTATTGGGTATCCACATTTCTGTATTGATGTGTTTCTGGTGATTTTCTCTGCAGTTGCGACTGTCGTCGAAGGGAAAACCGAAACAAGATCCGGTGGATCTGGTAAGACACTGGCGTGCCCTGGCTAAGGTTGTTTTTGTTCAAAATGGGAAATGCCGGCTTTACTCTTCCTACGCATCCTCTGTTTTACTTATACGGATGGGGAGTCCTTGGTGCAGAGGTTAACCCAGTTGATGTTAAACCTAGACGTTTCATCCATATTTGGGCAATTTGGCAGCTCTTCCACGCTCTAGCCAACTCTTCATTCCATATTTGGACTATCGGTACTAGATCTGCCAGTACTAGTATACTGGTGTCTAGTCACACTCGTTGTTGCTGTGTTGTTCCAATGCCATGACGGGAGATCGGGGTTTCTTCGGCGTCAACCGTACATCACGGCTGTATGTGGTATCTGTACTTTGGAAGTCATTATTTATTGACTTGGCACATGCTGCATACAGTGCATGCATGCGTAGTTTCTGTGCTGGTTCTTTTGGCTGTCGTTCTTCTCCTTGTTGTCGTTCTGAAACGTGCCCCGATATGCCCTGTATTGCTTAACTTCTACCATACATGTATGGTTGGTGGATCTGATCTAACCTCCCTCACCGTTTAGGAGCCGCATCTGACGCCTGATCATGGGGTGGTGGCGTCCCACGGAAGCGGAAAGGTGGTTCTTGACCAGAGAGTTGTACGACCCCTTGTTCTTGACCTGCCCGGTACGCGAACCCGTCGAATTTTTATTTATTTATTTATTTTTATTTGTTATACATGTATGCATTGTACAGGAGCGTGTTGAGGTTGCACTGGACAGGACGGCCAGTGAGCTGTGGCTGCTCATGGAGCCCATTGAGAATCCCATACATCACGCCGTGCTGACGGGCAACCACATCCTTGTCGACACGCTCATCAGTATCGGTCTGGACATCAACGAGCCGAACAAGGTGAGAGTTACCACCTCACCCTCGCCGTTTATGGGCACTGCAACTGCCACCAGGGGCGTCAGAGGGCAGTGAGTAGTGTCTGCTCTCTGTGCTCCCAGGTCTGATGTACTTCTTCTGTGTGTGCAGGTCTGCAGGATGAACAATGGTATCATGGTGCGCTTGTTGTGGAAACATGATGTCATACCCTGTAGGCGTGATACGTGTTGTAGTTTCTGGTCGAAGCCGCGGTATTGTCATTGCTATAAAAACTGTGTGTGTGTGTGTGTGTGTGTGTGTGTGTGTGTGTGTGTGTGTGTGTGTGTGTGTGTGTGTGTGTGTGTACATGCGTGTGTATGTGTTTGTACACGTGTGTCATCTGCTTGCACATGTGTGTGTGTGTGTGTGTGTACGCCGTGTGTGTGCATGTGCATACATGTGTATGTGTGCGTGCACGTGTATGCATTGGTGTGTGTGTACTTACTTGTACGTATCTGTACATCAGGAGGGCGAGACTCCGCTGCATCTGGCCTCTCAGATCGGCCACGTGGAGGTTGTTCAACTGTTGGCTGACACTGGCGCTGCTATCCATGCACTCAACTCGGTAAGACTACATAGGCCCTGTAGACTGTAATACAGTGGAACAGTACCAGTGTGTCCAAATCGAGATCAAACGGGTGGACTGCAAATATGTACAGGGGTGGCAAGCGAAATACGACCCGTGAATGCTGTATGAAGGGAGTGTGTTTGTGTGTGTGTGTGTGTGTGTGTGTGTGCGTGCGTGCGTGCGTGCGTGCGTGCGTGCGGGGGGTGGGGGGTAGTGATTAGTGGATGGTCTGTAGTTGGGTGATGTAGGGAACTATGCTACTGGTGATGAGGCTCATCTTTCCTTGCTATGTTGCATCTGTTGTTGCTGTTGCTGTTCCTTGCACTGCTGGCCTCTGTACTGCTGGCTGTGGTTACAGTGCCAGCATCATCTTGACTGTGTGTGTTGCTGCTGTTACTGTCGGCAACGAATGGGACGGACTGTTCTCTTCTTGCGCGACCGCGCCACGCCACACACACGCAGCCACATGTACAACATTGCGGTTGCTGCCACAACTACCGATACCATCAACCATTTCCATTGCTGCTTATTCTGGTGCTGCTGCTATGGATGTGTCTCATTATTGGCTTTGTTCTTGTCTTGTGTCGTTGTTTGGTTTTCACAGAGTGGAATGACCCCGCTTCACTGGGCGGCTAACCAGGGCAACGGGGAGGTTGTACAGGTGCTCTTGCGTGCTGGAGCTGATCCCAACGCCGTCGAGCAGAGAGTGAGTTGCTCACTTATCCCCTGTGTCGTGATGCTGGTGGAAAAGGGGGGGGGGGGGAGGGGTGGTAGTGGTGGCGGTGGTTGTGGCGGTGGTGGTGGTGGTGTGTGTGTGTGTGTGTGTTTATGTGGAGCTTTTCATATCATCCTTGTCTACAGGCAGACCACCATATATAAATACAATGCTGTGCGGGGAAGAGGAACATAGTGTTGAAGAATGGACAGGCTAGGAATTCAGTAAGCACAGCAAACCAATGTATGCGCAGTGACTCGAGTCAACTGTGCAAAGAAAATGAGATCGGCCTGGGCTAAGACGCTGGTCAACCAGTTCTTCGGCACCAGACGGTACTGTTGTACATGTTGGGTTCTTTACTGCTGGCGTCACGCAAGTATCAGCACCCCATTCTCGGTCCTCTTCAAAGCTGTGCATTGCTAGGCCAATCTCATGATTTGAAATTCTCTTCACCAGACAGGGAAAGACAGTGTGTTCTACATGTACGTATGTATTCGTATAATGTGTGTGTACCTTTGCTTGTTGTGTGTCTTTTCTGAGTATCTTGTTTCACCTTACGTGTGGTGCGCACAGCACCAGGCTACTCCGCTTCATACAGCATCCGTGTTGGGTCGACCCGAGGTGGTTCAGATCTTACTCGAAAACGGAGCCAATGTCAAGGCCATCGACCAGGTACATTCATTTTTCCTACTTTATAGATTTGCTTACTGCTTGAAGTATATGGTTCAAGTATTGACTCCTACACATGTACGATACAGTCAGACCTCGCATAACCGCACACATCCGTTTTCCACAAAAAATATCCGTATATGTGAGGGAACCGGATAATCCAACACACACACACACTGTATGATTGCATGGCATATGCTGTAAATCGGTAACCAACGATTTTCTTCCGGATGGCGAGGGATCCGGATAGAAGAGGACCGGATAAGCGAGGTCTGACTGTACCTGTGCGTGCGTGCGTCCCCGTATGCGTGTGTGTGTGTGCGGTCACGTGTTTGTGTGTGTGATTTGCATTGCCTTGTGCAACAGGATGGCCACACAGCATCCCATCTGGCCGTGCTGTTTGCGCCCGTGACGGTCGAGGATGACGTAAGTGTGTGCTATTGCATACGCCAAGTCTGCTTTAATTCAGCGATGGGGATAGGATCCGCCATGTCCGTCTGCTTTGTTATAAGAACTACCTAGCTAGCATTGAGTCCTCTCTGCGGCTGTAAGCTTAGGAGTTTGTTGTGGAATACGAATCTGGGTCCTGTACACTGTAGCTATGGGCACTTTTCTTCGCTCGCTTTTTGTATGCATGCATAAGACTAGTGGCTATTACCCGTCTACCTTGAGTATTCAGGTGGTTGATGTGTGCGCGTGTGCGCGTGTGTGTGCGCGTGCGTGTGTGTGCGCATGCGTGTGTGTGCGTGTGCGTGTGTGCACGTGTTTGCGTGCTCGTGTGCGTATCCGCAACTTTTGCTTGCGTATGTTTTCGCGTGGGCGTGTGGATATATGTGCCTATGTGTACGCACGTATGTTCACATGCATCTGGTTGTGCCCCTGCACCGGACACTGCAGGATCTGCCTGATGACTACGCCGACATTCTGGATATCTTGCTGTGCAGTGGAGCACAGCCCACTCCCAGGAGTCATGTAAGATGTCTTACAGTCATCAAATGAATACAGTAAAACCTGTGACTACCGACCACCCCTATTGGCCAGAGAATGCGGTCTTTAGTGGCAGGTGGTCCTTAGTTAGAGGTTTGCGCCGCACAACCATAATATGAATGTGAGACCGTCCGTGCCTGGCGAAGTGGTCTGTAGTACCAGGCTGGTCGCTAGTCACGGTGGTCTTTAGTCACAGGTTTTACTGTAGTACCAGGCTGGTCGCTAGTCACGGTGGTCTTTAGTTACAGGTTTTACTGTAGTACCAGGCTGGTCGCTAGTCACGGTGGTCTTTAGTTACAGGTTTTACTGTAGTACCAGGCTGGTCGCTAGTCACGGTGGTCTTTAGTTACAGGTTTTACTGTAGCTGTAATACTTACCTGTAAAAGACTGGCCCCAATTCCAGAAAATACAAACAGGGCACAATCATACACTGGAAACCGACCGGCTTCCTAGCAGTTGTCCTCTACTGCCAGTGACCTCACCCCACATAAGAATCCAGCGCCGATCATTGTGTAGCCCAGACAGTGCAGTCTTCGTATGAGTGTCACGAACTCGAGTCAAATGCCTATGGTCGGAAGTCTTTCTATAGACAAAAGTTGTGACAGACCGGACTACGTCCAGCTCAGTATCTCAATAGCATTGTAAAAATGCAATTTTTGCAATCACCGTATTGAGATCTTCTACACTCTTTGGGTTTGTCTTTGCTTCGTACCAGTTATGAAGTGATTACCTTGATAACTGGCTCAGTATCCGAGTCACAGTCCGAGTTCACAGTCCGAGTTCACAGTCCGAGTTCACAGTCCGAGTTTGAGTTTGAGTCCTGGTGGTAATAGTCAATTTTTTCTTCATACTTTTTTTCCTTTTCCATTCCCTCCAGCAGTGAGTATCCTAGTTCAATTTTGCCATTTGTCTTGTTTCCTCCCCAGGAGTGGATTACGCCTGTGCATATCGCGTCTTCGCAGGGCCAGGAGCGGCTCATCCAGATCCTGCTCCACTATCACGCCGATATCAACGCTGTCGATCAACGGGTATGGGCTGTCCTCCTCTGTGTGTGTGTGTATATATATATGTGTGTGTGTGTGTGTGTGTGTGTGTGTGTGTGTGTGTGTGTGTGTGTGTGTGTGTGTGTGTGTGTGTGTGTGTGTGTGTGTGTGTGTGTGTGTGTGTGTGTGTGTGTGTGTGTGTGTGTGTGTGTGTGTGTGTGTGTGTGTGTGTGTGTGTGTGTGTGTGTGTGTGTGTGTGTGTGTGTGTGTGTGTGTGTGTGTGTGTGTGTGTGTGTGTGTGTGTGTGTGTGTGTGTGTGTGTGTGTGTGTGTGTGTGTGTGTGTGTGTGTGTGTGTGTGTGTGTGTGTGTGTGTGTGTGTGTGTGTCAGTCTTGCAAGATGTTGAATGGTGCAATCCCAGCACAAGTTGATGTGCCTTCTGCTGTAGCATCGTTATCATCGCTTGGCGTTAAAATGGTCAAATGGTGTGTGCGTTGCGTTCGTCTATGTGCATGTGTCCATGACTTCCGGTTTGATTATGTGCTTGCACAGCATTGGCAGACGCCGCTTCACTTTGCCGCTGCAGCCGGCAAGATGTCCGCCGTTGACTTGCTAGTGAGCAGTGGTGCGGATATTGCTGCTATAGACAAGGTACTGAAGTCCACCAGTGAGGGTTGAACACATTCTATTCTGTTTAGGACCAGGCAGGCCTGAAGTGGAAAGCTGTATTTGTAGATAAGCTGAATGCAGAATATTGTATGTATCCATACATACTATTGGATCCTTATGCAGTGTTCTAGCAAAAGGAGGGTGCCCCCCCCCCTTCTTTGATTGACCGTTCTCCTTTGAAAAAGTGGCGCCCTCCTACTCAATTGTCGATTATTTTCATGCCATTCAACGAAAATGCAGTCAATAGTCACTAACAGAGGGCTCACAAAAGCACACTTGTCTGGGGTGAAGTCGGGATTCACCCCCAGTGCGTTGCATTGGGCATGGCAGGAAAATTTTGGAATATGGGTCACCGTGTAACTGTTTCCCCTGCCCACCCTCCTTCTATTTTGACCTGGCTAGAACCCTGTAATGGATGCAATGTCATCGCCGGGCTGGCTATTACGTAGCACTCTCAGAGCCCTATTCCGTTGATGTGATTGTTCTGTATCACAGGATGGCCGCACAGCTGGTGATGTCGCTGCCACGGCGGAAATCCGAACATACTTGGAGGTAAGTGTGGATGTGTGCTGTTTGTATTTGTATGCATGCCCAGCTTATGCACACCATCCTTTTAATGTTTTTTTTAAAGCAGCAGACTATGCGCGAATCTGTCGCATCCGTCCCGTTAGAGTTTTGGGCATCCGGCTCTCTCGCATTCTCTCTTTCTCTCACCCCCCCCCCCCTCTCTCTCTCTTTCTCTCTCTCTCTCTCTCTCTCTCTCTCTCTCTCTCTCTCTCTCTCTCTCTCTCTCTCTCTCTCTCTCTCTCTCTTCCTTTCTCTTTCTCTCGGCCTCCACTTGTCCACGGTATGCAACTGTGCCGGTACTCGTATACTGATGACTTCCATTTCTCTATGTTCTGTCCGTGTAACAGGAACAGCTGCAGAATCTACCCACTGACTTCACGGTTGTTGGAGAACTGGAGGATGAAGACGACATGCTAGTCACGGATGTATGAGTGACAATCTCTCTCTCTCGCTCACTCACATTCGGAGATAGTACGAGGGGACACACTGGTGTTCAAGTTGTTCGATCAGGAGTGGACTGTTCATGTGCTATATTAGGGGACACCTATGGACACCCAGGTACACCTCTGAGCCCCCAGCTATTCCGCACCAGACAGTACTCTACTTTACTATAGCCTCGTACAGCGCTAAACCAAGTATCGTCACCGCCTTCAAACTTCTACACTTCTACCGTTATACCGATGATTCATGCATAGAGTCTGTGATACAGTGTACAGTGTATTCCTAACCAGGATGCTGCAATGTCGGCCAACGACGTCACTCGGAAGTGCCGCCACTCCCCGCTTCGCCACCCTGATTGTGAGCCGAGTGGCTTTGGAGCTGTGTGGTGTTCGCTGCCGTTGATCGCTAGAAGTGCCATTGGTGGTGCCGAGTTCTACTGGTGACTTTGCGCTCTCTGGGTGTACGTTCTGCGGCAATGATGACCTATGCGGAGCGGCTGTCCATCCGAATCTCTCTCTCTCTCTCTCTCTCTCTCTCTCTCTCTCTCTCTCTCTCTCTCTCTTGTTGTCAACGTTTGGGCCTTCAGAATTGCCGATGTCCCAGAAGCCAATGGCAGAGCAGCATATCGCCACCAGTCAAACATTTCGTCTACTGGCAAGCTCCCTTTGAGCTCTAGCCTCATCTAGCACAAAGCTAACCAAAAGGATATTCTTTCACAACAGCCCGTCCTTGATCGGACCAGGCACTATTTTAGGCTCCGAACTCGGCCAATATCATCAGCTTATCTACAAGTAAAACTTTCTTTGGAGAACTTCACTAGCGGCTGCTGCAACACCTCGCGATAGCTAGTACGCTGCTGCACCATCCATCACACGAATCATGGCAGTGCTAGTGCACTCCGTTCTGATCTCCTTCACCAACTGTGTTTATAGGTCTCTGCCTCTCTGAAAGCGATGGTAATGATGATGATGCGGCTGAGCAATACTATACGAGTAGTATCTTACTTCGAGTAGTATCTTAGATAACATGTGTGCCACGCACACCGTAGTGTAGTATGGCCTGACACATCGGCTGTATACTGGTACTCTGCGTGTGTGCCCCCCCCCCCCCTCGCCCATATTTTTGATGGCGCTTATTTATAGGTACCGGTGCAAAGGGAGTACTGAATTTCCGGTATATTTGTACTCCTGGCTACAGCTCCTTGATGATATTGCTTGGCATGTTCGGGGCTCATGTTTCTTGCGCCCATTGGTAGTTATCCGTGCTGGAATCTATAGCGTGTTCTTCACAATCTTATGCTTAGCCCTCTACTGCCGCCATGCCTTGATCGGAATCTCGCTAGCGTGCATATTTCTATTTCTTGAGCCTACGACACCCCGCCGATATTATTTGACGGTCGGAAGAGAAACTAAGACCGAGATGCGCTTAGTTTAGTGAGTCCTGCTTGGGCGTGCTCTTGTGTGCGCGCGTGTGTGTGTGTGTGTGTGTGTGTGTGTGTGTGTGTGTGTGTGTGTGTGTGTGTGTGTGTTTAGGGTGTGCATAGGTAACTGTCTTGGCCGTCCTATTCCGATGTACTCCGTGTGGTGTAGACCAGGTGTGCATTGGGGGGTCGATTCACATGGCTTCGCCAGTTGTGTGGATTAGACAGTTATCTGGCGCTTGTCTTGATCTGTTTCAATCAGAATCAGATCCGCTATCGTTGCTATAAAGAGAAAATCTGTGGGTGCACATCCAGTGCATTTGCAGATTTGCGTGCTTCTCTTGCGACGGGCGTATACATGGTACATGGTGTGTGTGTGTGTGTGTGTGTGCGTGTGTGTGTGCATGTCTGTGTGGCCTAGCGAATGTGTGTGTACGTTTGCATCTTGACGGCGTGCGTGCGCATCCTGTGTGGAATGTGTATTGACTATGGCTGTGCACGCCATGCACTCCACTGACTGGGCAGTGTGTGTTGACTGTAGTACATGACTGTATGACGCACTGTACTGTTTACTTCACCTACTGCTAGCGGGCAAACACATTAATTTTGCAAGTACCTAGTACCTGTACATGTAGCAAGTGCATACCATCTCAGCGTCCATCCACTGCACTCCATCTCTGTATGTTCTTGAAAGCACGCTGCATACTTATGCACTGTACGTACATCTAGTACTGGGTACTGGAAAAGGATGCACTACAATTGTAGTGTCATTGCATCCTTTTTTCATGGTTGGATCAACCGGTAGCCTCGCACCTATTACATGTACTAGTACATGTATTACTATTACATCAGAGCCATGATCGTCCAATCCACAGTGTCAGTGGTTGAGCTGCTCCATATCACAGCCCCCTCTCCGAACACACACGCGTGCGCCCGCGCACACACACGCACAGTCACTAAAAAATTAATGGTAATGCTCTGTCAGTCGCGAGTCCGCGATCCGATAGATCACGTACAAGAAATACTGGTACGTTTGGTTCACTACGAGTCGTAGATCTACACGGTCTCACTCTCAGCTCTACTAACTATAAACGTGTTACTTACCGCTCTTTTATCTCTAAAAGCTTTGTAGCTCAGGAGCATGATCAATCAGAGGTCGACGTCGGCGATCTGCGAAACCACGTCGTTTAGTTGTGGATCTGTCAGTCGAGTCCAGCCTAGCCTACATGTATACAATCATAACCATGATATTGGTAACCATTATGAACAGAACAGGGAACACACGCCATATCTCGCACCATCAATAGCCTCGGCATAGGGCCATACAATGATACATACAGGGGTCAGTACAAGTCATGTCATGTCAATGATCGACGCACGGCCACGTGGCACGTGCGGCTTTGTTTGTTTCACCCAGGCGGCCGTCAGCATGCACCCATCGGCCTCACATCGATTCGTGTCGGTCGCGGGCATCGGCCGTCCGTCCTGACTCTTCTCCTTGGCCAGCTTACACTTTTTACAGTCATACAGAGACAGTAACGGTCCCAGTAGGTTGTAAGTTTTGTCTTCCTTCGATCATTTAGTCAGATCTTGTTAGTTAGTTGTCGCTGTCTTGCGCATTTTCAGCATAGGAAGGTTGCAGCTTTTCTGCTCGGTTCAAGTAGACGGAGAATTATTATTTTTATTGGGCCGACGACGATTTGAAGCAGTTCAGATCATGGCGTCGGCAAACTCCAGCTGCGACTGGTCGGCCGGTCTAACGGACCCTGTCAACCTGATACCCACGTCCGTACTAGTGCTGTGCGTAGCGATTAGCGGACTGCCGCGGAACTGGACGGCGGCTTGGGCCCTGTTCAACGCCGTAATGATCCACGCCTTTCTGGATGGGTAAGCATTCTGAGTAATCTACTTCTGGGACCTAGACCGTAGTCCGTAGACTACTAGTCTGGGCGGAGAGCTAGAGGGACCACAGTCGTAAAAAATTGTATTTTGAAGACTCCCCGGTACAGAAGACTAGAATCGCTGATGTGAGCTCAGGTACATAGTTATTTTACGCTGTATACAGTATCCTACTTCACTGTACGATAAATTTGTGCTTCGAATCATGCAGACACGGTTGAGGTTATACTTCATCCCGCCTCCAGTCACACGAACAGTTCAACCCTGCACATATGGCATGCACATACAGGGGCGTAGGAGGGGTTTTGGAAGTGGTACGACCGAAGGTCGGCGCGGCCTTAGGCCGTTCTGGAGGGGGGGGGGGTCCGGGGGACGTCCCCCGGGAAAAATTTGTAAAAAAGACACAAAATCCTGCGTTCTGGGAACTTCTGGCACACTTCTGGCACAGTTTATAAAGTCATAGAATTATTTCACGGTCAGAAGAGACGTGCATGGACATGCACAGATGCATGGCAGATCTACGAGTACGAGTCTAGAAAAAGGTCAACGTCTGATGCGCATATGCATCGATGGATCCTGATTTTTTTATTACAGTTTTGCACGTTCCGGACGGACCACACTTTTCGAAAAATGGTACGGCCATGGTCGTACCAGTCGTAGCGGGTGCTACGCCCCTGACATAATGATGGCATGCAAAGGACAGCCGCCCTGCCGCGTGAGACATATGCTATTGTGTCTCTCATAATGAACAGAACGGCTGTCCTTTGCATGACATGTTCATACACAGTACTAGTCCCCGTACGCATGGGGCTAGGGTCCGGCAGATTCTGCCGGCAGAAAAATCGGCAGAATTCGGTACTTTTTCTGGTACTTGTAAGTTTCATGCATGTTTGGTCTGTGGATAAAAAAAATGGAGCAGAATTCGAGGAATCGCCCGCCATAAGATTTGTATGGTTCTGCCAATTTCACTGCTTTTCGAGCAGAATCCGCCGGTCCCTACATGGGGCTCTGCCAAGTGCCAACCGTGGACGGTTGTAGCAAGGGGCACTGTTTCTGAACACAGTGCGGCGTCCTCCACCTTGTAACATGCTGTCAGCCAACAGCATGGACATCAACTGTGAGCGCGAGGGGGGGGGGGGTGGGGGGTGGTGGAAGGCGGGGTGACGTAAGCCGGGGTGCGTTCTGATCTTCTGCTGCTTCTTGGTGAGATCTCTCTCTCTCTCTAGCGTAAAGCTTGCGCCAAATGCCCTACAGCCTTGAGAGACGTGAGCATGTACCGGTACATGACCTTGTTCAGCCGCACCCGGAGAAATGTGTGTTATCTGGTAGTCCACATGCATTGATCTATAAATGAGGGGGCGGAGGGGGTCCAAGTTTCAACCATGCAGCCATGAAGTTTGCAGAGCTTTTGGAGAATCTCCATTTAAAACTACTGTGGGGATACTGACAAGAGCGCTTCTCCAACTTTTGCGGATCCGTGGACTTTTCCCAGAGGATTTTTTAGAAGAACGCGCCTTTAGAAATTAGAGGGTGTCTCAAACTGATTCCAGAGATTTCCACAAACCGGCGAAGGTGTTGGTATTTTCGTCCTTCTCCGGCAGTTTAAGATCAGGCTTGTATTCTAGACTGGCCCTCCGCATGAGATAGGCTTTGTTTTGTCAAAGGCAGCCCGGGGTGGTATCAACGATGATCTCAGTCCCGCACGTGTGTCGACAAGCTACTGTGACATCTTGCACGTTTATTATTATTTTTATGAACACTCTGGGTTTCATCAGTACTCTTGGTGCCCTGGTGTACACAATCCCGGGTACGACTCTGAACCCCCAGTTGTTCTGTACCAGACAGGGCTATGTAGCACTTGCATTGTGTAGTACATGCGCTTCAAAAGAGCTTTTCTTTTGAAGCGCATGTAACTTACTACATAGTGCAAGTGCTACATAGCCCTGTCTGTACGGTGTGGCACAACTGGGGGTTCAGAGTCGTACCCGGGATTGTGTCCCCTGGTACACCAGGGCACCAAGAGTACTGATGAAACCCAGAGTGTGCAGCTCTGATCCATTCCTGGTAGAACAAACACTAACGCGTGCCCTAATACATGTACAGGACACATAGATTGCACTCCTGATAGAACAAACATCAATGTGTGCCCTAATACAGGACACCTGCACATTCCACTCCTGATCCTGATAGAACAAACACCAAAGTGTCTCCTAATACAGGACACATACAATGCACTCCTGCTAGAACAAACGCCAATATGTCCCCGAATACAGGATAGACACATACATGTACATTGCACTCCTGATAGAACAAACACCAAAGTGTCTCTTAAAGTCCTAATACATTACAAACATACAACGCACTCCTGATAGAACAAACACCAAAGTGTCTCTTAAAGTCCTAATACATAACACATACAATGCACTCCTGATAGAACAAACAAAAATGTGTCCCCTAATACAGGACAAACACATACATTACACTCCCGATAGAACGAACACCAATGATTTTGTGCGGGAGAATTATTCCTGCTCAGCCAGCGTCAAGTAAACCGGCATAAAGATGAGACTGTGATCGTGTTCTACTTCTACTGTGTGTGGTGTTGGTTTAATTTCTTCACAGTGTTGTAGGCGGGATGCTACGTGGACCAGACTGTTTAGTGAAAGGATACATGTACATTGATGATCGGTTCACCAATGGGGACGGTACCATTGGCTGTCTGTGCTGGCTGGAGCTGTACATGTACACGCCGTTAGCTATGATCTGGTGAGTGGTGTGTGTGTGTGTGTGTGTGTGTGTGTGTGTGTGTGTGTGTGTGTGTGTGTGTGTGTGCGTGCGAGTGTGTGCGAGTGTGTGTGTGTGGGGGGGGGGGGGGCATGCGGGCATGTGTGTTGATTATGTACAATGATTCAGACGCATGACCGAGTAGGGCTGCTGTAATTTGAATTTGAACTCAATGCAACTCAATGCAGCTCATGCAGGCTGTGCAGCACGGTATAGGTGTGTCTGCATTGTACTCAGTTTGTGGGCTAGGGTGTGATCACACCCCTAATCATGTTTCTAATCCAGGCAAGTTGGAGTGAAGATCATGGTGTCTCAGTGTTTGTTTTGTTTTAGTCCACATGCAGCCCATAGGTCCGTATCAGTAGTGTTTTGTTGCTGGTTGCCTCATCAACCTGGCACGTAGCAACATACATTTTACCTGTGCTTGTGTGTGTGCGTGTGTGTGTGTGTGTGTGTGTGTGTGTGTGTGTGTGTGTGTGTGTGTGTGCGCGGATGCATGCCTGTATGCTTACAAACATACGTGTGTATGTACAATGTAGGTATCACTCGGAGAACACCAAGGCATGGCATCGCGAGTTCTTCGGCATCGTACTCTCAGTCATCTATCTGATGGGAAACTTGTTCTACATTTTCGCCGAAGCCTACCTAGGATTTCCGGACGTGCCATTGGTAAGCTGTCTGTTGTAAAGGCCAATTCATACTTCATGTCGCGTACGGGAAACGCGGTGCGTCGCGAAAAAGTTGATCCGAGTTCAACTATTTCGCGTACGGGAAACCCATCGCGCGACGGTCACGCGATGGGTTTCCCGTACGCGAGATGAAGTATGAATCAGGCTTAAGACTTGTAACTGCCGTATATTCCGGAGTGTAAGCTGCACTTTTATTATTAATATGCACCAGCAATTCACCCGAAAAATGTCGGTGCGGCTTATACTAGGATGGTTTAAAAAACTGGGTGCGGCTTATACTGCGGAAAGTACTGTGCCCTACCTGTGAATGGTGTGTTTGCTTGGCCATCTTCTGTATGCTGACTTCTGTCACAATACAGTCAGACGGCCTCGCGGCATGTGCTGTAAATCAGTATGCAACGATTTTCTTCCGGATGGCGAGGGATCCGGATAAAAGAGAGGTTCTGCTACACGGAACTCCTACCAAACTCCGTGTCAACTGCAGTGAAATTTGACACGGATTTTTCGTACGTTGCACCGGTTCTGCTGTACGTAGCATGCTCGTAGCATGCACGAACACCCCGCCACATGTACTCTGTACGCTCAGTTTTCACACGGAGTCCAGTCCGTTTGAAGCGCGCTTCACACGGAAAACGGTATGAAAAAATCCGTATGAAACTTGATCCCGTACAGCGGCGAGGTTTCCATACGTACTTTGGCACGTTTTACCGTGTGGCAGAACCTCACTAAAAGAGGACTTAACGTGGTGACTGTCCTAAGTATCTGGTCTGTGTGGTCAGGCTAGTACCATGCTTGTTTCTTGTCTAATGATCATGTACAGGGGTGTAGCAGCCGGTCCGGCTTTGGCCGGATCACTTTTTTAAATATTTTTTCACCCGAATGCTAACTTGTTTTCTTTCTTTTTGGAAGTGAAGTGAACTTGTGCAGCGAAGAGACCGTAGTTGGAGAGTGTGAAGTGAGGTACCCTGTAATGTGTGAGTGGCTGCAATGGAGTCTGCGAGTGCTTAGAAAAGAATGCTAACTTATAACAGTACATGTGCTTGTACAGATCCCATCCCTGACACCAATTTTTCTTCGTTTTTCTCCCCTTTCCCTGCACCTTGTTTTTCCCTCCAGGACTGGCCGCCCAAATTTGACACGTACGATAAGATCGTCAAGTTCTGGGGAATCTACCTGGGTGCTAACTCCATCTGGGTGTTCATACCCCTGATAATTATCTACCGAGGCTGGGTTAATATCGGCGCAGCGTTCAAACAGGCCAACGGTGCCAGAATAAAGAGCGACTAAGCACCGAGATAGGGGAAAATACTACTTCGAAGTAGATACCAGATAGATGTTTCATTTTAACTTTAGTTAGGACTCTAGGACCAGAAAACATGCATGCGTGTGTTCTAGGATTCTTCTCGAGCATGACCCCCCCCCCCCCCATATGCTGTTCTGCATACTGCGAGCATGCAAGCAGCGAGCGCACCACGAGCACGTGTATGGCAGGCGTTGCCTCGTGATGTGTGTGTGTGTGTGTGTGTGTGTTTGTGTGTTGCGAGTGCATGCATGCATGCATGACTGCAGTGCTCCGTATTCGTGCACGGCCGTTGGTCGAGCATGCCTAACTCGAGTCGGCGTTCTGCCAGTGCAATCCCTTTTCTACTCTAGTATTTATCCCAGCTTGTTGAGTCATGACCGCACTTGGTTACACACAGATCTTGGCAATCAGAATTCTCTATGGTGGAGTCCGTGTGATGCTGCCCATATATGCTACTCTTTCTATCATACTAACTAACTTGCTCAGATCTCATGATAGAGTGTTTGTCATCTCTAGGGGTAGTTTCTTGGGAAAGTGTCCAGACTTGGTTTTCCCTTCTCCTTCTCACAGAGTCTGAGAGAGAGAGAGAGAGAGAGAGAGAGAGAGAGAGAGAGAGAGAGAGAGAGAGAGAGAGATAAAAAGAGAGATAAAGAGATAACGAGAGAGGGGGGGGGGGGGGGGGTAAGAGAGATTCTAACACCACCGATGATCAAGTGTCGAGTGTCAAATCGGGTCACGGTTGACCTTCTGGCTGGTAGTTGCTGCCTGAGTAAACAACCCGACAAATACCGTGGACTTGCAATCAGTTTCGATGCGAAGCACCGAAATTAAGCTATATGGGCTGCATACTAAATCTTAGGGGAGAAGCCCAACTCGAAGTTGTTTGTTGGACATTTTGGCAGACTATTGCATGCTGTGAAAGAATAAAATACATGTACTACTCTCGTGTTTGTTGTCTGGAAAAGCGCAGTAAAATGTCTCTCCCAACAAACTCCTTTCACTCTGTGCTGCTGCTGCTGCATGACAGAAAACCCAGACAGTGATGTTGGGAAGTGGAGTAACAACTCTTTAGAGAAATGGACAAAAAACTGTCGCTCAGCATCCTAACTTTTTTTTGTTGGATCAAGTAAAATACTGACTAACTAGTAGCCAATACAGTTAGAGAGAAGCAACCCAATAGCAGCACTTGCTCACGCCACTGGCTAAAAGAAAACTGCGCAGCGTCAGCTTGAAAGAATGATAATTAAAAGACCCAAATTCAAGAAGGGCTTCCCGAAGCTTGCTCAGCATGAGAAGTACGGAGACTATGAAATTTTATCATTTGAGGTGTTTCGCGTGGAGTTGCATCACACATACTGCATTCGTCACTCGGTTCAAAGCATTTATGTCGGGAAGTACATGAACGGTGATGTCACTCGCATAACCTCTGTCCCAGTTAGCTGGTGAAGCAATGCAGCTATGCACCAAACACGCCTTGGCAGCAGCAGCTCCTGGCCTCACACACAAAGCATCTGCAACGCAAATCGTATTGGAGGCTCCCCGAACACCACCGACAATGCATCCACAGCACAGCACCGGGGATCCACACGAGCAGAAAGCGCAGCCAGTCCAGGACTGACTGTTCACAGCAGCGGTACAGTGGCTGCAGACTAGCCGAGCTGCTTGACACGCGTGAAAGCAGCCTCCACGGCATCCATCATGGCTGCGCGGAAACCGGACTTCTCCAGTGCATGCACGCCAGCGATTGTTGAACCTCCCGGCGAGCAGACGGCGTCCTTGAGCTGCATCACACAATACAGGAACACATGGCGGAATAAAATCGGGATCACACCAGGCTGAATGGCTGGGGATTTCCCCATTTGAGCCAAGCAAAATAATCACAATCAACGTAACAATGAAAGCGGAATTTTGAAAGGCCATTGAGAAGGTGAGGGAGTAACTAATTAATTTTACTTACCGCACCCGGGTGCTGTCCAGTCTCCTTCACCATAGCAGCAGCACCCTGTGGTTAATATGCACATGCACACACAAAGACACACGCGTGCACACACAAAGACACACGCAAACACACACGAGCATGCGCACGCAGACAGCATACCATTTCGGACATGCCACATTTCCCCCCGACAATAATTGCACTCCTATTAATTTTACAGGTCCCTGTGTATTATTGTTTCCTAGTGTTCGGTTGAGTACTAAGCCACACTGGAATGCAAGTGACTTAGTTTACACCCTTTCTCTGGTCTTCACGGGTTAGTGCAAGCCAGGTGAACAGGTGTGACTTTCCCCACGCGCGTACGCACACAGACACGCATGCACATGCCTGCCCGCCCGCACACGCGCATACACCCACACTCAGCCACACATATACACACACACACACACATACACACATACATGAACACACACATACACAAACACACACATACATACACACGTGTACACACACACAAACACACACACACACAGGGTAAGCCTGCCTCACCATCATAGTGTGCGACGCCAGGTCGTACGCCAGGGAGCGCTGGATTCCAGCCTTCACTGCTCCGTCAGCCATGGCTTCCAATGCCATATACATCTGGCGAATAGAACAATAAATTTGATGGAATAAGAAAAAACAAAATGAAACAAAATGGCTCTCCAAAACTGGGGCCCTATTAAATGTCAACGGTGCCCTCGTTTCGGAGTCCAATATTTCCACGCTTCGGTTTCGATATCTATCAAAATAGAAAACGAAAGAGTGGAAATTTAGGTGGCAAGATTGCAATGTCGCACACTCCTCTTCATGAGTACTTTCGTAGGTGAACGGCAACTCCGCGTTGTGAAGTACAGATTTGTACGCTCCACGGGAGGGATGTTATACAGAAGGTTCAATGTACTGGTTACAGTGGTGCTCAGTTCAGAGACACAAGACACCACAGCACTGTGTGGTAGGATATGTGCACAACAACCACAACGATGAACAAATCAACAGCATTCGCCGCTGCTGTTTTAGCTGTTCTATCACCTCTCTGCCGTACTTAATCCATTGTTCATGTTTATTTGATTTTGCCTGTACTTCACATGATGGTAAGGCATGAAAGTACACTAGTGAACAGTTTCAAGATGTTCAAGAGTCTGAAGTGTGTCCTTCTTCTCAGTATGAACAATCACTTACGTAGGCAATTCCGCTGCCACTGACGGCCGAGATGGGCTCGATCTGCGACTCCGGCACGTAGCGCGCAAACCCCAGGCTCTCCATGAGCATGGCGATGGCCGCCTGTCGGACGGAGGCAATCGCGGCCTCATCGTACGCGTACACGGTGACGCCTTGCTGCACGCACGCGCCAGTATTGGGCATGGCGCGCACCAGCTGCTGCACTCTCGACGTCTACAGATGCACAACATTACAATCCCATATACAGTGGAGATCGGATATAACGACTTTGCATATTACGACAGATTGAGTTTAGCGACACAATTCTGTTGCCCAAGTCGTTTAGTAAGTCTATCGGGTTTAGTGACAGATCGAATATAGTGACATTTTGTTCTCTCCCAAAGGAGTGTCGTTATATTCAATCTCCACTGTATTACGTGAAGTTCATCCACCGTCCGTAGAGGGCTCAGTTTGCCGAAAGCAAAGAGCGGAATACACAGACAGAAGAATGAGCAGTTGCTTTTTCGTAACTCTGAGTTTCACGAACTGAATCGATCATCAATTTTCGTCTGATGATCAATTCAGTTCGTGAAACTCAGAGTTTTGAAAAGCAACTGCTTGTTCTTCTGCCTGTGCAATCCTATACATCAATGACTTGTAATGTTGTGGAGCAACTCAGCGTCACCAAGGTCAAGTGGAGAACTACAGTTCAGAGGTTGCACATAACGGTGTATGTGTGTGTGTGTGTGTGTGTGTGTGTGTATGTGTGTGTGTGTGTGTATGTGTGTCATTACAGCCATCTCTTGTAACTACATTACCATCTCTGTAACCACATGCAGGCACGTAGCCCGCATGGGGCACGTGCACCCCCTAAAAATGTCGACAAAGGGTTCAGCATGCCCATAATGACGCTGAATGACATCACCAGCCATCCTACACATACGCGGCCGTGCACCCCCTAAAAGTGGGACCAGCTACGCTCCTGTGTCCCATGACTGTCTCTGTGATGCGTGTGATCATCATGACCATCTTCGTAACCTTCCGTAATTACATGACCATATTATCCGTAGTCACATGGCCATCTCCGTAATCACCATGGTCATCTCTGTAATCACCATGGCCATCTCTGTAATCACCATGGCCATCTCTGTAATCATCACATGATCATTTCTCTAATCTTGATGACCATTGACCATCTCTGTAACCACATGACCATATCCGTAATCACATGACCATCTCTAGCTCTGTAATCACATGACCGTCCCTGTAATCACATGACCATCTCTGCAATCACATGACCATCTCTGTTATCAGTAGAGAAAACTCAGGTATGACACGGCAGTTAGTAGTTACCTCTCCGAGGACGCTGAGTTTCACACCGGCCGCGACGCTGATCAACAGAGTGTCCTTGGGGAACGAGCATTTGGACAGCACCGGGCGGACCAGGTGTGGCTTGACGGCCACGAACACAATCTTGGCCGCCCTGCACACATCTTCGTTGTTCGTCGTGCACTGAACATCTAGTTTCTGCAGCCAGCCGGGGGGGGGGGCATACAACACACAGCGGTGCAAAAGAAAGTCGTATTAGGCAAGTGGATCAACACGTCCAATACAGTGTATATACATTATGTAATAGCAACCCTGCACATGACTGCAGTGCGAGTGCTTCTCATCGGAACTCAGCAATGCGCCTGAGACAGCAGGATAGAGTGGTGTTCACATCTCGGTCATGCGACTAAAATGTGCGCAGATTCCCGCAGAAAGCGATCATTGCATGCGGGCAGTGGAGCGGCCAACATGGCCGACATAATGTGACCAGATATGCTGGGGTCGGCCGGAGTTGGAACCAACATGGTTGTCCTGTATGGTTATCAGTGAATGTGTTCGATTATGCACGCGAATCGATTCACGAATCAATTCCTGAATCGATTCGCGCTATTCACATCACCCCATGTGAATAGAGTGAATGAATTCCGAATCGATTCCAGGGCTCATGACATGAAAATCGAATAACTTGAATGCATGCGAATGGATTTATGAATCGATTCAAGTGCATAATCAAACGCAGCCAGTGTGATAGATGTGAAGCCTGGACTCGTGCGGCGAAGAATGGCAAGCCTAGGGGCGTAGCTGGTCCCCCTTTTAGGGGGGGGGGGGGGTGCATGGCTGCATATGTGTAGGATGGCTGGTGCATGTCATTCATGATCATTACATGTATGTGCATGGTGAACCCAGTCAAAATTTCAGGAGGGAGGACGTGCCCGCCCCCCCCCCCCCCCCCCCCCCGTGAGCTACGCGCCTGATAGCCGGCATACAGATGGCCAGACTGATTAGTTCTTGTATGTCCCAGGTCACTCCCCAAAGCAAAACTCACAAAACTTTCTGCGACGCAATGCAATGCACGACATGCGATACATGTACTCGTAACGAGCTACGACTGCAACATACGATTCGTGATCTGTTGAGTCCTGCGACATCTATGCAGTGAATAGTGCATGCGTGTTCACCCAGTACCAGGCCTTGAAACTCGATGAGACGGCATGCGGCAGTAATTTTCTTGTCGCAATTCGAACGCCGCATCACAGAAAATGATATCGTAAATAATGTTGTGCTTTATCCTTCAGCACCTAAATTATGCACACGCGTATTGATATTTTGCAGCATTCCGACAGCGTCCCGCAGATCCACCATGGCTAGGCCACACACGTGTACATGATCAAGGCAGGATTGAACGACTGGAGTAAACAATGAAGCAAATTTATCTGCAGAAGCTTGCCTACGTGTATCTGTTGCTAGATCACCGCCTTTGGAGATGACATACATTAGAACCAGATCTTCATTGTTGCCTAGATTTACCTGGCATGCCAAATAATTCTTGGATGTTGTACATGTCGCCGATACGACGATGTTCTCAGCAGGCACCAAGTTTGACTTGATGAATCCATTTATCATCGCCTGCGCCATGTTGCCACAGCCCAGAAATCCGATCTTGACTGATTTCAGCCATGCCGCCGCGGCCTGAACGTTTTCTGATTGTGCCATGACTTCTCAGAGTAGAAATCTCGAGCTAAGAGCTTTAGAAAGCTTTGAGGAATTCAGATATCTTCCTTGTCCCTTCGTCTACTTTTCGGTTCGAATCTTGACAAGTGTTTCAAGAGGTTTCTATCGATGCACGTTCGGTACACAGTCCTCCTACCACCAGTCAAATGCGTCTTCTCCATGGCTACTCATTCGATTTTACGAGTAAACGCATTTTCAGACGTATTCTCTAAACCCCCGCGTTTCGTAGGTAGGTGGCTAGGTGCACACCAGGGAGTAGTAAAATACATGTATTTTACTACTCCCGGCCTGGTGCACACTGTCTGGTTCCCATATGCATGATACCAGAGTACATAACCCCGGGGTTATGCACTCTTGATGATACTCAGTATGTGTGGGGTGGAAAAGCGCCAAGATCAGAATGATGACCTGACCGGTCGACCATGCACTCATCGATCATCATCGCAAAGAATGCAAAAAGCAAACAACAAACATTTTTGTTTCGCTTGCATTTGTTGAGCCTTTTCTGGTGTTGTGCGACTACGAGTTGTGCCTTGCTGCTGGAGTAGAGCCGAAGCAAGACATCCTTGGCGTTTATTTAGACTGCTAGTAAGTTTCTGTTTTGTTTGTTTCCGAGAGTCGAAATGCCACGGAAAACCTTCTGGGTACGCACGCACGCCCCAAACTGTTCTGTTCTAGTTTGTGTAAAAATCGTTATACCGGCATGGTACATGGTGTGGCGAAAAACAGATATCCGTTTTGATGACCTATTTCAATAAGGACTGATGAAGCTTCGAAATTAAACATTTCACTGCACCGCCGGAGTCTCCTTACATTTCCAAACAAATCACTCTTCTGTAGCTGTGTCCCTCAGACATAATTTGATTTCTTTGAGAAAAATTGTTCAGGAACTTTTATAATTATTAATTTTCGTCTCTAGCCTTATAATGCAGTAGTTCATTATTTTCTCTAGCAGTGCACATTACCAATGCTGCGATATGAGTTGATGTTACAAGTATTGGATTTGTTGGGGCTGGGACAGCTGGCACAGGACAAGTTTTGGCACCAGGAAACAGTTTTTTAGTGATAAAGTAGATTATTATAATTATATTATGAACTCTTCAAGATCTACTTTGTGACGTGTTGGGCATCATCTATATATTACAGTGCTGCTCAATGAAATCCAGTCGAGTCACTCAAGTGTGCACTTTGCACCATTTCGCAGCCCAGTGTTCGCAGGTCTAGGGCTGCGCAACGCCCGGCGCGTGCTTCAAGGAGTGACGCGCGACTGGATTTCAGTGAGCTGTACTGTACTTGACACGCCAGTCTCACCACATCAACTTCAAATGTTCGTATTAGTGGAATGGTGTGAGTGTAATTTGTTTGAAATGATTCAAGCCTCTTTTGTACTGGCAAAATACCATCTGTGAGTGTAGGTGCAATGTTTTTCGTACCATGGGTGTAGTCTCCTCACTTGATACAGCCCTTGCATGTACCGCTATGTATTAGGTCCGTTTCCTTCTTATCAATCCTGATGATGGTCCGAGACCGGAATATTGGTTGCTTTTTTTCTTTTTCTGGAATGCAGTCCCGAGACCAAATTTCCTGAACATCTTTTTTTCGATACGTTTCTTTCTACAGAACCCAGCATTTGTTTTGTTCCATTCTCACGTGAGAAATGCATGTAGTTCAGACTGGTGCCTCTAGTTGGGTTGATTGCATGTTTCCGATCTCAGGGCGTAGGTATTGGTTCCAATGTTGTTTTGATATTTGTTTTGCTTGATAATGCGAAAATAGTACTTATCCAGAATGTGTGTCTGTGTGTGTTTGTGTGTGCACACGTGTGTGTGCGTGTGCGCGCACTCATGCATGTCATGTCTATTCTCGATAGGTGCGGTGCAACGTCAAAAACAAGGAGCTCTCCGTATTTCTTTCCTTGATTTTGTTCAAGCAAACCTGCACAGCCGCAATCACACTGCTTGTATGAACCCCACGCGTAGGCCAGCACCGTTAGCGGCATAGAACACATTGCTGGCGGTGTGTGTTCGTGTCCACTTCCGGAATGTCCGATCCTGGGTCGCGCTCCGCTAGCCCTAGTCCGGCGGCTGCCGCGACACAGAAGCGCACGTACCGTCGCCGACCTAGCTCCAGCCCGTCTGACCGGGAAGCAGCCGAGTAAGTCAGAGTCTGCTGTGAATGATGATGCCATGCATTGTCATGTGACTAAATTTGTGTACAAAGTGATTCTGGCATGTGCACAGTGGAACCACCATGGCCGACATCATGTAACCCATGGATGCAGGGGTTGTGTGGAGTTGGAACCAACATGGCTGTCTCCAAAGATGGGGAGTTCGTCCCGTTTTAGATTTCGTCCATGGATCATGGGAGTGTATTGAAAAGCGAAAAAGACGAAATTAAATTCCAGACGAGTATTTTTGCTTGTACAGTACTGTAGTGTCCTGTATAGATAAATACCTGTCGCCTGTGGAAGCCTGTTTTAAATACAAGCCTGATTTTCAAGATACACATTTTTTTCTTTTTCTTTTTATACGAAAGTCCACACTGTCGGCACATAAGCCTGGTTTTAGTGTTCACGTGTACGTAGAAATACCTGACTTCAAGCCTAGCACTGTCATCGGCTTCTACAGGAATAAACCTGTGTTTTTTTTACACGGCATTACGGTGTCCTTCCCAAGGGCGGCTCCAAAGGGGGGGGGGGGGGGTCCGGAGGTTCTGCGGAACCCCCTAAATTTCGCAAATGCACTACTGGAAAACATGTGTGTTTATGTTCACATAATTATCAGCTACTGCAAAACATAATTTTCGGTGTAGCTTTAACCCCCCCCCCCCTCTATTTCAGCTTCTATTAATTTTGCAAATAACAGTATGTTCTGTGTGTTTGTTCTTGTACTTGAACAGTGCGACCAAGAATGCCAGCCGTCGTCGCCGTCGCTCAGAATCTCGTTCCCCGTCGTCCCGTTCCCCTTCACCGGCGGCGCCACGCCGCGGCAGCGTGAGCAAATCCGCTCGCCGTGACTCCTCCGTGTCTCCGCGCCGCCGACGCAGTCCCTCGCGCAGCGCTTCGCCACCGGCGCCGAAGCGACGCAGGAGTCCATCTCCCCGTAAACGTAGTAGCCCTTCTCCGCGCAGACGTACTAGCAGATCTCCACCGCCGCGCAGGCGAGACAATAGCAGCAGATCGTCTCCGCGCCGCCGATCGCCGCCTCGCTACCGCCGGCGCAGCCCGTCACCACGGCGACGCTCTCCTGCCAGGTGAGTAACTTGTCTTCTTATCTACTGTATTTTCCAGAGTACCAGCTGCACCCCCCCCCCCCAATTTTTGACCAAGAAATACAGATATCTACCCTATGTATCACCGTTAATTTAATCTCCCTCTCTGTGCCTCTCTCTCTCTCTCTCTCTCTCTCACACACACACACACACACACACACACACACACACACACACACACACACACACACACACACACACACACGCTCAGTAAAGTGTCACATTCGATGACAAGTAGTGTGACTCTTTCAGAGCCCTGGGATCGGAAAGCCAGTGTTCTCTCGCATTACGGAGGTTTCGCTGTACGTATGAAAATTCGTCTGTCGTACTTGCCAGGAAGCAAGGGCAATTTTCATACGTATATCTCTCCGCGGATTTCCGTAGGAATGCCCTTTCCTACGTTGGGTCTTCCGTAGGACTTTTTGAAATATTTTTCGCATTTTCAGGATTTATGCATGGCAACATTCAAGCCGCGCGAAACACAAGGGACACGCCACGTGGAAAACAAAATGGACAAATGCGGTTTGGTTTGTGGTAACGCGTCTCCAAAGCAACAAGGCATGCGTAGCAGTCGTGGAGAAATCACGTAAAGCGAAACCCAACAGCGCTGATTTTTACGTATGAAAATTACGTGCAGTTCCTACATTATTTTCCTACGTAATTTCGTAGAGCGAAACCTCCCTATTGACAACAGTGGTGTTCTTATTGTTGCATGCTTTCTGTTTCTTAATCTTATTGCTGTATTGAAGGTATCGCAGCCGATCACGCTCTCCCAGACGTCGCTATTCTCCCGTCAGACGACGGTAGGCAGCCGCGAGCCGATGTGCATGCATGCTCGTGTGTGTGTGTGTGTGTGTGTGTGTGTGTGTGTGTGTGTGTGTGTGTGTGCATTGGAAGCAACCTATCTGTACCGCTTGCCTTTTTCAGAGTTTTTTGTACTCTATTGTATTTCCCCAATTATCTGTCACACCTTTTGAAAATACAGTCAAACCTCGTTATGACGAACTTCAAGGGGCTGAGCAAATTTGTTTGTCTTATCGGGAGTTCTTCTTATCCAGATCTGACAAAAAAATCGATATGCATATTATATGGATTGTATCAGGGAGTCGTCAAATAAAAGAAGTATTTGACGACTCCCTGGATTGTATTTACGTGAAGGTGCATACTGTGGTAAATGGGAAGCATTTATTCTCAGCATAAGCCAGAAACAGGACTGTGCTTTCATATACAAACAAATACATTACGATAAACCATGGATTGAATATGAGTGATTACGAGTGTGCATGTGAAGCACAGCATCTCAACATCCATACTTTACAAAAAAGTTCACGGTTCGTGTGAGACTCTGTTGGAGCCAGTGGAGGCCGAGTTTTCCGCATCCGCAGGAACGCCACTACCCTCTACGGATCAACACTCTTTGCTTCACAAAACACTTCACAACTCACCTCGAACACTGGTACATCATGGTACTGGCAGGGACAACATTGTTGCTGCAAAAATAAACGGAATAAAAGTCACCTTCGCCTCACGTGATCAAGGACGCGAACATTGTACGCTTAATCTTGGCCTAGAAAGCACCCACGTCAGTGCGTCTACTACGATTCACTACGTAGATCCATGTACGTACATTGTACAATCAATGTATGGCCAATGTATGGCCATATATGGATGGACCCGGCTATCGAAAAAAGAAAGAAAAAAAGACAGCACCCAGTGACCCTAAAAAAGACAGCCAGCGCACGCGCGCGCGCACGCACCCAAAGTAAATTTTAGTTCGTACTACGCGCTGATTTTATTCAACTCACACTTGAAAGTAGTTCGTCTTCGCGAAAGTTCGCCATACAGGAGTTCGTCGTAAACGAATAAGTTTGACTGGATATGATGCCTGGCCAACCATAGGATTTGCCCTAGTTCGTACTAATGGAAAGTTCGCCTTATCAGTGTTCGTCCTAACGAGGTTTGACTGTACAGTAAAACATGTCAAGGCGACGGCCTGTCCTAGAAGACCACTGAAACCAGGACCGAGGGATGCTATTTCCAGTCAAATGACCCTGGATAAGGAGACCACCTGGTAACAGAGACACGTTTTGAAGGTCCTTTGAGCGGTCGTCTTGGACAGGTTTCATTGTATATCCCCAGGTCGAGAAAGGGAGGGGGGGGGGGGAGCATACAATTTTGTATGACTTACTCCTGAAGCAAACACACTAAAACTATGCGACTCAGATCTGGATTAATCGTCTGTTTGCTTTCTTTTTGCAGGTCTCCACCTCGCTTTGGCTATGGACGCAGGCGTTCCCGATCACGCAGCTTCTCGCCCAGGGATCGATACAGAAGGTAATGCACTAGTGAAGCAAACGGGCACGATACCAGGATGCATTCTTAGTTCTGTACTTTTTGCAGCGTGAGGTTCTGTGGACAGTTTCTATTGCGTATTTTGGGCAGGGTAATTGCATGTAGTTGCCTTTTGTGGTGTACGCGTAGTGAACAGTATAATGGGGAACTGAAACCGTACTCCTTTTTCTCCTTCCGCTTCTGCCTGTGTCTTTGTACGTGCATGTGTACGCGTCTGTGCCTGTGTTTGCTTTTGTGTGTCTGCATGTGCACACGTGTGCCTGCGTTTTCATGTGCGCGGTATGTCTGTTTGCCTGCATGCACACACATGTGAATGCTGTCCTGTACACAGCCGCCGTAACCGCTCTCCGCGTCGGCGTCCCAGCCGCTCTCGCTCCCGTTCACCACTTGATTCACGCCGAGGCGGTGGCCGATCGTCGTCAAGAAGGTCGCGATCGCCAGCACCGCGTAGACGCTCCTCTCCGCGTCAGCAGCGCCAGCGCAGGACGAGATCGTCGTCTCGCTCGCCTGCCAAGCGGAGATCAGCTAGTCCTAAGTATGAGTGCTGCCACGTGTGTGTGTGTGCGTGCGTGTGTGTGTGTGTGGCATAGGACCTGAACTGAACGCAGCTTGCTATGCAGGACGACGAAAATCGCATGCATGTACATGTATGTAGAGTGTTGGTCTACTTGCGATTTTGGCTGCCCTCCCCAATGAATGATGTTCATTTCAGGGACGACAAAAAAACTTTTGCGACAACCCGTGAACTTGATTTTTAATCGGCCAGAAAGTGTTTTTAGATCCAATAGTTCTACTGTAAGACATGTTATTATAACGAGTCGCAAATTTAACGATTGTCCGAAATTCATAGGTTACCGAGAACATACGATAACGATCTTGCAGTCTTCAGGCATATCCGCACATATCACAGAATGTGGCCTTACAGCCTCAATAGAACTTGTCATAACGAAGAAATGTCACCTGTTAAAACGTTAGGGGGAGATGCTTCCTCGTTAGATTTACATGTCTTACAGGACCCTGTGTATAGCTTTGTTAAAACCTGATTGGATCTTTATTTTCTGCTGTCTTTTGAAGTGCACGGTAGTCTTTGGCAACTGACTTGTGAATGTCTGCGTGCCCTTGCGATTGACCGCTGCTCGTCCTGTCTTGCTGTCTCTCTTTTCTGCAGGCCGACTCGCAGCGACTCTGAGAGCGAACGACCTGCAGATAAGAAGAAGGCGCGCAACCAGTCCTCCTCTCCTCTACGCAATGGTCGCCCTTCGGTGCGGGCAAGTGCGGAGAAGTCTCGCCGAAGTCGCTCGCGAAGCGCTAGCGACAGCAGTCGTGTGAGTGCCAGGAGCAGTGGTCATTCAGACCGTGAGCCATCTCCGGATGTCGCCGCGCCCAAACAGCGCCAGTCCTCTTCTCCTGCACGACGTGTTGTAGTCATCAGCAAGAAAGAGGCCGAACAAGTTGCCGCCAAATCCTTGGAAAGACACCAGTCGCGCTCGCCATCCAGGGATAGGGATGCGTCCGCAAGTCCATCTGTGGAAAGGTCCCCCTCACCCACTACTACCGCTCCAGCTCGTGACAGCAAGAGCAAATCGCCCGAGGCTTCTCGAAGATCAGCATCGCCCGCGGATCGATCACGAGAACGTTCCCCGTCGCCAAGAGGCCATGCTCGTAAATCGCCCTCGCCTGCACGCCGCTCACCCTCTCCGCGCCGCAGGTCTCCATCACCACGGCAACGGCGTAGATCGCCCTCTCCAGTGCGCCGACGCCGAAGCCCATCGCCACCACGAAGAAGGAGGAGTCCGTCACCACGAAGACGGAGGAGTCCATCACCACGAAGACGGAGGAGTCCATCACCGCGGAGACGTCGAAGCCCGTCGCCGCGGAAACGCCGAAGCCCATCACCTCGCAGGCGACGAAGTCCATCACCGCGGAGACGGCGGAGTCCGTCGCCACGCAGACGCAGGTCTCCATCACCGCGCTACCGTCGTCGCTCTCCATCACCGCGCCGTCGACAACGCTCCCCGTCTTTGTCACCGCCGCCACGTCGTCGACGTGATCAGTCTCTTTCTCCGCGAGGGAAATCCCCGTCGCGTAGCCCGTCCCCTGTTCCACAGTCAAAGTCACGCCGGCAACACTCTTCCTCACCGTCGCCAGTACCTGCCGCTGCCATTGTCCAGGCCAAGAAGCGACCGCGTGATCCATCGCCGTCGCCATCTGATGGTTCCGATAGCGAGAGGAAGGGTAGCAGCAGCAGCAAAGCCATTGCGACACAGTCTGACGACGGAAGCGTGTCGAACGCGTCCGATGACGACGAGGGTCGCGAGCCGGACAAGAAGCGCGCTCGCAAGTCACACAAGCACTCGCACAAGCACCGCCACCACCACAAGAAGAAGAAGTCGAAGAAGCACCGTCGCCACAAACGGCACAGCGACAGCTCGGACGCCAGCGACGACGACAGTGACGACGCGTCGGAGCGAGACGACTCGTCATCTCGCGGCAGCCGTCGCGGCGGCGGCGACAAGGAGAAAGACAAAGGTGTGTCGGGTATACAGGCTAAGCTTATGGCCATGTCTCGGTAGTAGCGCAGCAGCTAGACGCTTAGAGAAAAAGGAGGGAGGTTGCTGCTGCTGCCTCCACTGTCGGCCGGTGTAGTGCTGGGTAGTAGGCGCGCGGTGTAGATATTTTACTTCTTGTCAATTCCGTTTTGCCTGCTCGCCTACGAATCACGCGTAAAGAGAGCCGTCGTTGAAATTAGACAGGTAGGGAGAGTGGAGCGTCGCCTGCCATGCTTTTAGAGAGATGCTGGCCATTGCGCAGAGCAATGTAGCCGTTGCTGGAAACTTGGACACTTGGCACAATAAGCTCCCAGTCCATGTGTGTGCGTGTGTCAAAGCAAGCTGCTGGTGGTGGTGAAGTTGATGATGACTAAGGCACTATGCAGCAGCAACAGTAGCAGGAGCAGTAACGCATGTTGTACCCTGTTTCTCGTCTATGGAAGCCACTAAACACTGCTCTGTTGGTGTAGGTGCATTTGCCCGGGTGCGAACGTTGAGGTCCACGCTAGCTAGTGCAAGCTCAATGTATATTACTTTATGGTTATTTCGACCATCGCGCCTGTTCCGTTATCCATCCAGCGTTGTCTCACCGCCTGAGAGCCTGGTGTGGCTTCTGAACCGCTGTGCCTTGCTCGCTTCATGGAAGTTCCCGATGTATCACCGCTATCTACCCTCAGTGATGCTGTCTCTCTCTCTCTCTCTCTCTCTCTCTCTCTCTCTCTCTCTCTCTCTCTCTCTCTCTCTCTCTCTCTCCCCGTCTCTCTCTCTCTCTCTCTCTCTCTCCTGTTTTTGTGTTTGCGTCCCGCTGGCTAAACTCTTGCATGCAAATGTTGCCATGTCCTATTTCTAGTCGTCGGTTAGTTGTTTGCTTTTCTTTGTGCTCCTAACACTACCCTTGTGTACATTATCGCTTTGCGTACAAACTGCTTGTATGCTTCTGTCCCGACACGCTGTTGCATGTAGCTTTGCTGAACCGTTTTGAAGCGCTTTGACTAATTAATTAATAGGTTCTACTTACACTTCCTGGGCCTGAATGTTTGTGTGTGTGTGTGTGCGTGCGTGCGTACATGTGTGTGTGTGTGTGTGTGTGTGTGTGTGTGTGTGTGTGTCACGGTGTGTGTCACTGTGTATGTCACGGTGTGTGTCACTGTGTATGTCACCGTGTGTGTCACGTTGTTGATGTGTGGTGATTCTAGGGTACTGTTTTGGTTTTTAGTGCTACTGTATGATTGCGTCTGTGTCTGCATGTGGACAATAGTGCTGGTGGTGGTGACGACGTTTGCTGTCTCCTAAACCCAAGTGTCATGACTGCACCAGTGGCCATAGTCAAGTCGGAGGAAACCGTTCTGAACTTGACTCTACCATCACTTGACTATCAACGCCTTCAAGCCTGCTCTGTCATTGTACACTGTGCCTGCCTGCCTGCCGTACTGTCTGTCATCCCATCATGCCAGCAGCTTGCTTTGCCAGTGTTGTCAATCTAGGCACCCCTCTCTCTCTCTCCCTGCCTACTCTAGCCTACATGGACAGGTATCGTCAGGCGCGGCTGCTTACTCGACTCACAGACCCGGGCCACTCTTCTGGAGACATATTTAGCCGCAGCCACCTCGCAGTTTACTGCTCCTCTAGATATGAGTGACGCAGCGTATCGCCTAGTTTAGAGAAAGTAGCTCGAACCACTTTGGACGTGAAAACACACTTACAGAAGAAACTCAGTTTTCTGTTCTGAGCACTACTACTGTTTTTCTTTGGCATGCACACACCCCGGAAATGATATTCGTATGTAGGAGGCTGCATTTTGTAATTTCAGCCTGCCTGTACTACAGCCCCGCGCACATGTAGAATTATCTCCCAGGCGGATATCAATTCTCGTCAAGTGTTTTCACCTGCAAAGATGGTTGAGCTACCATAGAAAAAGTATGATCTATTACAGGGGCGTCGGAAGGTATTTTAGTGTGGTACGGTCAGCCATCTGAAGTACAATTTACTTTTGTGGGAGTGGTGGCTGAGGCGAAAATTTTGGAAATTTAGATCCCGGATCAGTGTATTTTATTGATTTACAGGGTACTTGGGCTGCCCCCACAGGATACCGCGATTCCGCGGACGCGGCATTTTCTGCGTTATTGGTTATCATCCGCGTTTTCGTGAGATTTCGCATAAATCCCGTGTTATTCATGAGAATGTACAAGAAAATAGTAGGGAGGTTCCGGAGTACGATTTTTCGTGCCAAAATCCGTGGAGGCTCTACGGATTTTTTATACGTCGTTTTCGAGCAGTGAAAAGTTCCGGGGTACGGAACTTATGTGTTTGCCGTCATTGCCTAGGTTACGATCGCAAACACGTCACATTCCCGCGCTACGCCTTTTTATTTTGAAAATTTGTACCGAAATCAAAACTTCCCGCGAAAAATCGATGTTTCTCGTACCAAATTTGTACGCGAAAAATCTTTCTGCACCCGATGACGCAAAATCTCCATACGAAGCATGGTTCGTATGAAAGCCAGTCTACACGGATTCTCGTGCCGAAAAATCGTATGGAGCACGCCTGGAAAAAATCCGTAGCGCCCATACGGATTTTGGCACGGAAAATCGTACCCCGGAACCTCTCTAGTGCATGCTGTTGAAAATGTACTACAAAGTCGTATGGGTTCATGAGTTTGTACGACAAAGTTGTATTCTTGCATCGCATTAACCCGCATAGTTGCCGCATGGTCCCGCATATTTGCCGCATAATGGCCTGTTTTCGCCCGCGTAATTATGCGCATAATTTTAGGATTTTGTCCGCGTTATTCTGTGGGGACAGCTTGGGACAAAAAGTGGTACGTACGGTCAATAGCGTAGTGACCGTACCGTGTGCGACGACCCTGTATTATAGTAGTCATGTTCAGATAAATCCGACCTCGTGAATATAATAATGGCAAGGGCTACGCCGCGGCCCTTGCACCACTCTCGAGCGCCATGCTACTTTATTCATGAGGTGGGCTTTCTTGGGCCAGAACCGTAATACGCCGAGAATGTGAGTGAAATCTCCACGAATCGAATGGCAGCGCAATCTGATTCTACTTCAGTACTAATCTTGTAGATGTGCGGGAGATGATGCCACCACGTCTTGTGGAGAATTCGAACTGCGATCGTGTGTGGTATTGCCAAGAGTGCATAACCCCCCAGCAGTGTGCAACGCCTGATCCAGCGGTGCATAGGGTCGAGCGTAATCAGATCTTCTGACGTCATGCGTACACTCCACACCAGCGCAAGGCCGGTCTCGAGGCAGGACACCATTGTTTTGGAGTGAGAGTGCCCGCGACTTCCCGGGTTCCCCTCAGGTGTGTACGGTATTATCATATGACGCAAAGATCCGATTACACTTGACCAAGACCCTATGCACAGCTGGATCAGGCATTGCACACTCCGGGGAGTTATATACTCTTAGTATTGCCCATTGGTGGGAAGTTCTGACCGCGCAGCAGATAGCAATGCAGGCAGCAAGATTCCACGCTCAGCATCAAATCCCTTTGTAGTGCGGAAATAAATATCGTATCGCCCAATCCCGTTTTTCTACCGATATGAATGATGCTACAGAGGGAAGAGAGAGAGAGAGAGGAGGGGGGGGGGGGGGGGGGAGGGGGGTGGTGGTGTTTGATTGAGGAGATCTAAGTTCGTGGGATTTATCACTATAATTATATATTATTATAAATTACAAAAAACCAAGGCAAGAAGTGACCCACTTTTGGCCATTTTTTCCTTCACGAGACACACATTTTGGCCTCGCATTGTAGCAAGATATCGAATGGCCTGGCATAATGAAAACTAAATATCGACGGTGAGCCAGCAACATTTTTCCGCAAATATCGATGTCGGCCGAGCAAATTTGGTCTGACACTGCTGTGGTTTCACGTCTTTGTCATCATGCGACTAAATTTGTGTAGAAACTAGAAAGTGATCATGGGGTGTGACTAGTACAGCGTCCGGCATACAGTACTGTAGGCTAGCAGACATCATGTGACCCGTACGTGCAAGGGTTGAGTGGAGTTGGAGCCAATATGGCTGTCCCCGTACCGTATGGTCATGTGATTGATGTGTCCGGCTCTAGATACTCATACCTATGATAGGATCGTAATACACTCCGAAAAGTCAATGTGCCTTTTATAGTACGATGGGCACATTAACGGTGATAAATGGAGTAGATATCGTGACCAAAAAAGTCTGATTTAAAATCTTGTAGGACGCATCACGCAGCTTCATAAGTAAAAAATTGGTTGTGAGCAACACTGGCTCACACTCAAATCACTGCTTTTCACCAGAAAAATATTTTATTTCAACGTTTCGGTCATGAAATAACCATCATTTCCTGATGATGGTTAGGCCATGGTAAAAAATAAAGTTGATTCTCAGGTCATGAGCCTGTGAAAATCGGTGCGAGCGAGCGATTTTTTATTTTAATTCCCACAATTTTTTTATTTCCAAAGATAGAGTCACACATGTGTACGTCACAGGTTCATAATTAATTTATAATTATTTTATTATTCAGGCCAGGGAGTAGAAAAATACCGGTATTTTACTACTCCCGGATTCATGCCTTTCGCATTGACCGTTTTCATGCACGCATATATGCATGCATGCATAGAAATAAAAAAAATGTCGGTGCGCCACCAAAAATCGATGCGCGCGTACTTGAGAATCAAAGATATTTTTTACCATGGCCTTATAGGCAATTTAAAAAAAGGTCTGAGTTCAGCTTATACTCCAGTGTGGCTCCGGAAAATACCGTCAGTAGTTGGAATGCAAAGCCAAAAATTAATAATAGTAATTTTCGAGGTCAACCATTGGCACATCATCAATTCATCATCCTTACGGACTACATGTATTGACAGTACTGGTGTAACACACAACATTATGCAGACTGGACAGGTAACCAGCAGTATCCAGCCCAAGCCTCCCTATTCACGGAGCAGTGCGTGTTATTATGCAGAGAAATCCCCGTGATAGGCCTGGGTTTATTGCACACCCCTCGAAACAAATTGTCTGGTGCACGATGTTGTTCGTTTGATTTCATCGTGATTGATTCGGCCAGTACAGTACTGTCGAGTGCTGGAAGAACCGACAGGCTAGAATTTCACCAAGCCCAGCATACCAATGTATACACGGTGACACATCTGTGCATAGCCTGTCATACATGAAAATAGAAACGGTCAAGGCTAGGAGGCTGACAACCACAGTAGTTTTACACAAAACTCGGCGTTACAGAATGAGCACAGTAAAACTCCTGACATCCGGATGTCCCTAATCCGGGTACGCCTGTCTACCGGGCACCTTTCTGACCCCTCTACAGTCATAAACATGGCTTTGGGGTAGTTTTCAGACGAAAAACAGCCCCAAAACAGTCAAATTGATTGGCATAACATCTTTACTTGCATGCAGTAAGTATGTACAAGTTGTGAGTTACGGGCAAACCTGCCCGGATCTGGGTTTTTACTGTAGTTATGTTTCGCCAAAATTTTGTGGAAAGGTCAGGCTGTTGGTACATGGTGTAAGCCTGATGTTCTGCCAGGACATAATGCACAACACCTGCCTTGTAAAGCGTACCTGCGTGGACATATCACACTGATCATCAAATCATCCAATCATGACATGGGGACCAAACACACGCTCATCTCAAGTCTTGCATAAAATAATCGCGGCTGCCATGCAAGTTTTCGCGGACGTTCACGGGCGTCTACATGCGATACACGTTGCAAGGCAGGCGTTACACGTTATGTACGATTTATTGTATTTTAAAGGATCACCCAGAGGCTCTAGGTCTGTCGAGAGATCTCCTACTCAAAGAAATGTCATGTCTTCCGGAAAGAGTACATGGGTACAAAGAAAGAAAACAAAGAAAAGAAGCAGTCCCGGGAATTGCGAAAGTCAATATGGTACTGTCTGAATGCTCTGTATACAGTATTTCATGACGGTACGGAGCGGGCACTTTGTGGATGGTCATACATTGGCTCTCCCAGAAATATCAAAGTCTGTGCTTCTTGTACGCAAGCATTCCTGAGCCTTTCGTCCATTCACTGCTGGAATTTCAAGATTCCCCAGTACAGTGAAACAGCTGTCTAAGACGACCGCTCAAGGGACCTTCAAAATGTGGTCTCTGTTACCAGGTGGTCTCCTTATCCGGGGTCATTTGACTGGAAATAGCATCCCTTGGTCCTGGTTTCAGTGGTCTTTTCGAACAGGTGGTCACCTTATCCGAGTGGTCGCCTTGACAAGTTTTACTGTAATTACATGGACAGTACACAATACACCATGTACATGTAATAATAAGCTTGTAAACTTGTAATTTCCCTGTCATGTCATGTGTTAAGGTGTCAGCAAGGGAAAGCCGAAGAGCAAGAAAGCCAAGAAAGCCAAGAAGTCCGCCAGGAAGAAGGAGCCGAAATCCAAGAAGACCAAGAAGACTAAGAAACGACGTCGTGCTCGTAGCTCTTCCTCATCGTCGGTGTCCTCTGGCGAGAGCGACTCCTCGTCCGTTGCCAGTACTGGTCATGGTGAAGGTGTTGGTGACGTTGTTGGACCGGCTCTACCGCTTGCACTTACCCAGCCAGCACACACCAGTCCAGAAGTGAAACGGTGAGATACCGGGACACACTAACACGTACATGTATGCTTAGAGGCGATTCACACGATATGCACACTCCTGTGTGTGTGTGTTGGGGGGGGGGGGGTAACGCTCTTACGTGTGCGTGCATGTATATGCACGTGTGTGTGTATGTGTGTGTGCTTGCGTTCTTCTGTGTGTGTACATGCAAATGTGCATGGCATTGTGTACACACCAATACTAACGTGCATGTTATGATGTATGTGCACGTGTGTTTGTAGACGATCGCTTGGTCCCATCTCCAAAGCCAGCCATGACGAAGCGGAGAGCGTGGTCAAACGGGTGTATGACGAAGAAACCGGCCGAACAAGGTACTGTTCTAGTGTGCTGGCACACAATGCACACAATGTGTACTTACAAACATACACATACCTCCCTCCATTCTTGCACATCAAACAAACACACCTGCAACTACCTACAATTGCCTACAATTACACTTGCCTATAATTACTTGAAGTGCAGTGGTTCATACCATCAGTGCACACACGTGTAGTGTATGTATGATATGATAG